TGTCAGGGTGAGGGGGTCTGGGGGGTCATCAGTGTGCACAATGTCAGGGTGAGGGGGTTTGGGGGGTCATCAGTGTACAAAATGTCAGGGTGAAGGGGTCTAGGGGGGTCATCAGCATGCACAATGTCAGGGTGAGGGGGTCTGGGGTTCATCAGTGTGCACAATGTCAGGGTGAGGGGGTCTGGGGGTCGTCAGCACACACCGTGTCAGGGTGAGGGAAGTTTTGGGGGGGGACTCATCCCAGCGTGTGCAGGGCTCAGGGAGCTGTGGGGGAAGGTCAGGAGGGTGCACAGTGTCGGGGTGTGGGGTTAAGGGGGGCCAGGGCGGTGAGAGGGTGTGTGAGGGGTCTGGTGTCTCCCAGGAGGGTGGGGGGGTTTAGGAAGTACACGAGGAGTGTGCCCTGAGCATGCAAGGCCCATTTTTGGGTGGGGGGCAGCTGTTCCTATTCCAGCTGCTGCGGGGCCTCGCGTTCTGCCACCGGCACAAGGTGCTGCACCGCGACCTCAAGCCCCAGAACCTCCTGCTCAGCCGCCGCGGGGACCTCAAGCTCGCCGACTTCGGTCAGGGGACCCCAAAAATGTGCCCTGGGACCCCAGCTTTCCCCCTGGAACCCTCAATACCCTCCCTGCCCCCCCCAGGATACCCCAAATCCCTGTCCCTGCACTTCTAAAATAAACATGGTGTGTATCAAAACACAACCTGAGACCCCCAAAAGTCTCCCATCTCCAGGTACCAGAACCCTCCAGAACACTCGTGGAGACCCTTGTGGGGACATCAGTTTCTTCCTCAGAGACCCCAGTTATCCCACATGACCCCATTTGCTTCCCCGGAGACCCCAGTTTTACCTCCAGGGACCCCCAGAACCCCCTTAGGGGCCACCATTGCCCCATCTGGACTCCTTTGTAGACCCCCAGCTTTCCCCTCCAGGGACTCCTTGGATAACGAGAGCCCCCTTGGGGACCCCAATTCCCTCCCCCCCGGACCCCAGTCAACCCCAGGACCCCCTTAGGGGTCCTCCATTGCCCCCCCCCCCCCCGAACCCTTCTGGGGACCCTGACCCCCTGTTGCCCCCCAGGCCTGGCCCGAGCCAAGTCCATCCCAACCAAGACGTACTCGAGCGAGGTGGTGACGCTGTGGTACCGCCCGCCCGACATCCTGCTGGGCTCCACCGAGTACTCCACCCAGATCGACATGTGGTGGGTGCAGGGGGGGTTCGGGGGGCACAGGGGCCCTTTGCACGGGGACCCGGGGCCCTTGCACGGCTCCAGAAGGGGTTTGCAGGGCTCTCGTGCACGAGGGTCTCGCACGAGTGGAGGGGGGACGGGGCTCTGTGCCAGCCTGGGGGTCTTGCATGGGGAGGGGGCACGGGGGTCTGTGCCAGCCTGGGGGTCTTGCATGGGGA